GGATCCGTCAGATGAGACACAGCAATTTTCAGCAGGAACCCTCGATGAAGGAACATCACTTTAACTTCATTAGTTTCTGTGATAAAAATTACTGCTGTTTTTTTTAAATAAATGGTTTAAACGAAAATGACTTGCTTATTCGCCATTCGTTATCCATGGTTGCAGATTTCAAAGTCATCTCTGTGCAAGGCTTTGCAGATCAAACCTGATTAATTAAATGTAAATCCGCCCTACTCCCATCCAGGCTTTGATGAGTGGGCTTGCAGAGGAAGGAAGGAGAACTTGGCACGAGCACTCATGCCATATAATGCCTACATAATGATAAGGTGACTGATTAAGACATATCTATACCACGCTCGATGCACGCATATAGGTTAATGTTCAATGAACATTATTTCATATGTTAAAAGGATGACATCTTTTGAATCGATTGAACTATATGGGTCTATTTCATTATATTATTCCACAATTGCTGACATTTCAAGATGAAGAGGAAGATGAAATTGAGGACTTTTTAAAAAAGAAATGCGAATTTCTTCAACTTAATTATTCCAATTGCTGATAAGCGATTGATCATTTAAAAAAGTTGAGGTTGAGGTTGAGTTGAGTTGAGTTGAGTTGAGTTGAGTTGAGTTGAGTTGAGGTGACGTTTTAGTAGTTACTGCTATTTCTTTTCTATGACGATCATTACTAAGGTGGCACACATACCCTTTTCCCAGCCACTTGCGCTCGAGGATGCAACGACCGTAGACAGAATGCGCCCCGATGTTTGAATCTGCTGGTAGTATCTATGTAAGGTAGACAGACTGTCAGAATGATTGAAAAACTGACAGAAGCTAGATAAATTGACAGACTGACACATTGCTTGACAGACTGTCAGAATGTTAAATAGATCAACAGACTAACAGAAGCTCGACAAATTGACAGACTGGCAGAATGCTAGATAGATTGTCAGACTGACAGAATGCTAGAAAGATTGTCAGACTGACAGAATGCTAGATAGATCGACAGACTAACAGAAGCTAGACAAATTGACAGACTGGCAGAATGCTAGATAGACCGTCAGACTGGCAGAATGCTAGATAGATTGTCAGTCTGACAGAATGCTAGATAATTTGACAGACTGACACATTGCTTGACAGACTGGCAGAATGCTAGATAGATTGTCAGACTGACAGAATGCTAGATAGATTGTCAGTCTGACAGAATGCTAGATAATTTGACAGACAGACACATTGCTTGACAGACTGGCAGAATGCTAGATAGATTGTCAGAATGACATAATGCTGGATAGATTGTCAGTCTGACAGAATGCTAGATAGATTGTCAGTCTGACAGAATGCTAGATAATTTGACAGACTGACACATTGCTTGACAGACTGGCAGAATGCTAGATAGATTGTCAGACTGACATAATGCTAGATAGATCGACAGACTAACAGAAGCTAGACAAATTGACAGACTGGCATAATGCTAGATAGACCGTCAGACTGGCAGAATGCTAGATAGATTGTCAGTCTGACAGAATGCTAGATAATTTGACAGACTGACACATTGCTTGACAGACTGTCAGAATGCTAGATAGATTGTCAGACTGACATAATGCTAGATAGATTGTCAGACTGACAGAATGCTAGATAGATCGACAGACTAACAGAAGCTAGACAAATTGACAGACTGGCAGAATGCTAGATAGACCGTCAGACTGGCAGAATGCTAGATATATTGTCAGTCTGACAGAATGCTAGATAGATCGACAGACTAACAGAAGCTAGACAAATTGACAGACTGGCAGAATGCTAGATAGATTGTCAGACTGACAGAATGCTAGATAGATCGACAGACTAACAGAAGGTAGACAAATTGACAGACTGGCAGAATGCTAGATAGACCGTCAGACTGGCAGAATGCTAGATAGATTGTCAGACTGACAGAATGCTAGATAGATTGTCAGTCTGACAGAATGCTAGATAGATCGACAGACTAACAGAAGCTAGACAAATTGACAGACTGGCAGAATGCTAGAAAGAGTGTCAGTCTGACAGAATGCTAGAGAGATCGACAGACCGACACAGTGCTAAACAGACTGTCAGAATGCTAGATAGATTGTCAGACTGACAGAAGCTAGACAAATTTACAGACTGGCAGAAAGGGGACGCTTGTGGCCTAGTCGTCTAGGGCCCCGTAATTCGCTGTGTAGAGTTGCGTCCCTTTGGCACGCCAGAAACCTATGATTGTGGGTTCGAATTCCGGTTTCACCAAAGTGGTAAACGTCAAAGACCTGCATCACTTCGGGCTGTTTATTATTTGTTTTGATTGTTTGTTTGTTGTTTAACGCCGCACTCAGCTACAAGACGGCGGTCTGTAAATAATCGAGTCTGGACCAGACAATCCAGTGATTGATGTCATGAGCATCCATCCACACAATTGGGATACGATGACATGCATCAACCAAGTCAGCGAGCCTGACCACCCGATCCCGTTAGTCGCCTCGTACGACAAGCATAGTCACCTTTTACGGCAAGCATAGGTTGCTGAAGGCTTATTCTAGCCCGGATCTTCCTCCCACATTGAGCAGACACGCCATAATAGAACTGGAATACTATAAACTCACTCACTATAAATGTGACAGCGTGACATAATAAACAGAACGCTGGTATTTATCTATGCTTCTTTAACGTGTGTGTCACAACTCATTATCCATAGCGTATAGTAATTAGTTTATTGCAAATACTTGTACCTTCATTAATAACGATGACAATTAGAATTCAGAAGACGTGATAATTGACGCATGTAATGGATTAATCTCGATTAACACGTGGTGACGTATGACAACACGTACGTTTTGCAATATGCACCGTTACCCAGCTGTTATACCGAGGCAGGGCTGGTATTGTTGGAAGAGAGCATTTGAAAGGTATCATATGTGCTACTTTGGTAAATACAACTTCAAGCCTGGCACATGCTGATGACGGAACAGAATAGCTGCACATGTAACGTCACAACTTCATGAAGTCACATACTTTCAAAATTTGATTAACAGTAAAATATCGATAACTCGAAATACTGGGGGCCGTCGAGCGATTTCGAACAACCTGTAGTTCGAGACGTGGCAACTTGGTCTTTATTCCCATTAAAGGGTCTTTAGACCATCAAGTTAGATCGTTCCTTACGAAATATGACTTAAGGGAGTTCGCGATGCCACGATATTGCGAAAGAAAATGCAATAAAATGTTTGCTTTCGTCTAAGTCTACTGTCAGATGAAAATGTCATACAATGTCAACCATAAAGAAGCTGTGTATTAAAAGGCCTATCGATTGCTGAAAAAGCCTTGTGAGTAACGAGACAATAAGAAACTTCAGAGCGGCTGTTGTTCAATTAGCCATCACCAGTCCTCGCATTTCTGGCAACTTCAATGACACCATCACGTGATAACTATATCGGCTGGCTATGGTCATATTGCTCATACATAGCCGGTATTGCTATCACGATATAACATTGTCCACAATAGGCTGCCACACAGGGGATAATTCCTATTGATCTATTAATCCCAAGATAATTTATCCTGACGGTGCCATTGTTTCTCGAACAAGTTCTTTTCTCGCGAGAATTGCACGTTTTAGACATCTGCACGTTCGTATATATCATGTATTGGCACTTCGTGGCGTTGACTTGCTTTAGGAGTCGAATATGAGAATGGCACTAAAGAGAAACATGGTTTATTCTTGTGGCATTATAGAGCAAACTTGCCGTTACGCCCCTTGTACTAATGGAGGATTGACGTGGATGTACTGATGATATACTAGTGTGCCATACTTAAATACCTCATTCCTTACAATATATTGAGACCAGCCGCAACATGTGTTGCTTTTAACGAAACCGACATGTATAACCACCAGGCTTGATTGTGTAACTGAATTTTGAGATTGTTTTTAATAATGCGTCTGGCAAAGACAAGGGACAACTAACTATAATATTCTGCTTGAATTATTCCCTGTCAGGAATGCCTTTCGGTCGCGCTGGGGACTAAAAACGTTTTACAGTGCAGAGTGGGTTTTATAGTCTCTGTTTAATTAAATGAACAGAAATACTGACGACCGCCAAATGTCTGCAAGTGGAACAGTAACCTTATCTGGAAGAATTACACACATTCTGGCGGCTATGGTTATATCTCCATGATAAAAACAGCCATGACGTCATTGACAACTTTCCTTCCACTAATAGGACACTATTCTGGGTCTGTCGGTGCATTATTTAAAATTTGGTAATCAACGTCGCAGAGATGGTGCTTTGGGCATATTCTTTTAAATTAGTCGTGGTTTGAATAATAAATGTAGCCTCCTTGCAATACACACACACACACACACACACACACACACACACACACACACACATACATACATACATACATACATTTCAAATATATATTCAATTCTGATGTATACAGATACAATGAAATATTGATTATGGTTAAATGGATTATTCTACACCAAGTGTGTATTTATTTTATTTTATGATATTGACAATGTAAAATGTTCCTTTACCATTTGAAGCAAGACAATGGTTTATTTGCACAATTACATGAGCAAGACATGTGCATGTGCAAGACAAGAAATGTGCATGGTGGCTTACTTAGATATTAGATTATTATATATATTAAATTGAATTATTATCCATCCGCGGTTTAATTTTACACTGTCGTGTTTGTTTGATCTTTCTTGTATCATGTCGGTTCGTTATGCCAAAGGAAATCGAGATGCGCGAAAACAGGGATTGTAGCTAGCGTGACTTCAAGTCTGAGTTTAATGAGATTTCTCAAATATAATTGAATGAAGGGCGAGAGAGAAAACCAAACTGTCACTTGAAATAAACTTTATCTATTCACAGAAACGGGTTCTAGAGTCTAGATATTTTGGAAAGTATAATGGTTGATCACGCGAGAAGTAGAATGTGTCGTCTGCGAGAGCACGCGGGTTGTCAGAGCAGACGAGAATTGATCGCTTTGAAAGCGAGGCTGAGGAGCGACATCACATCCCGGAGTCTGAAACATTCACCCAGGAGCTTGTGAGCCAGGCATGGTCTGGAACAGCCAAAGGGATATACCAGCTGAAATGTTAATATAAACATCTTGCCTGGCTTCGCCGTAACTGTCGATGCTGGTGTAACTGATTTGAAGCAGCGGTGGAGGAGTGAATCGTTTTGCTGATGAAGTGAGCGTGACGGCTGGTAACGTGGAACATGCGACCAAACAACAATGGGTTCGATAATTGATAGCAGAGTACTGTGCTTCCTGGTGACAACGATAGCTTCAGGTAAGAACCGTTTCTGCATCTTCCCACTTACACCACTCTTCCCCATCCGACCCTCAAGGTGGGGGCCACACACCCAAACGAACACACATGTATTACAGTGCCATTGATGCCATAAGTGCATGGTTCTGATAAAAACGGACTGTCGCTGTTCTTGTAAGACACGATACTTCTATAAAGTAATATAGGCCACGATAATGAGCTTATTATAATTGACTGTATTATTGTAGCTCAGGTGCTTTCACTGATTACTAGCCAGAGTTACAAGTCTGATTTTGCGTTGCGTGATTAATACAAAGGTCTGCAGAGATGTGAGAGAGAATTGATTTTGTTTTGTATGATCCATGTTTACGCTTGTCGTTCTGCCAGAATAGCAAAGCTGGAATCTCAACCTGTATAGCTAGACCAAAACAGAGTGCTCAGTCGGGGCCAGTCAACGTTATAGCATACACGCTAGTGAGAAAAGAATCATAAAAGGTCGATCGTGGTGCAGATGCGTTGTTTCATGCCTGTTAGTCAGCCGATCTACACACAAAAATTCATACGTTATAACTTCATTCCCCTCACACCAGGGGGAATATGGAAGGTCACCAGCTTCTATACAGTGAGGACCTTGTAATATTACTTGCAAAATGGATTGTCCTTTATTGAATTGTTCGTAACTCACAAAGCTCGATTATACACCTTTCAGATCGGCTGATAATAACGGGATCGTTGTTGTCCCCGAACGCCCGAGCTTACACCGCGTTAAGCCTTCTCAGAGGATGCAGCAGTATTGGACATTCGGTGTCTGTCGGAATTGTTCCACTGTTTCCGAAGTGGATATTGTGTGAACTGGGGATGAATCGAATTTGATTGTTATTTTGCTTCAGATGAATGCTTCCTTCAATTGGATTCCCTATAGTTGGATTAGATCGTTGATATACGTTTAGTTTTCAGTCATGATACCACGTTCAATGCCGAAGTGCCTTTGGTAATCATTTCCAGGCCAAATGTAATGATAAAAAAACACTAGAGTGCAACGATATTGACTCGTGAAATAAACAATACCCGTTTCCAATACTCGTATTGTTAATAGGGACTTTAAAGAATATAACGCATATTATGAAAACTTTTGAAGACAGTTTGTATTTGTCGTATACATATTTGATGAGGTTGTTCGCATATTTGTTAAGCATCCATTAACTTATCATTTAATGTGCCATGGAACCAGCTACGGACTATATATACTTGACTCGCAAGTTCATTACACAATGTTAGTATTTTTGATTGGTCCGCCGCCACTTCTAGTTTATTGGAGTGATGGTATATTCATCGAGTCAAACCACGGCACCGAGGGAAAATACCACACTTTACCCATAATCGTTGCAAACATGATTAATTATTTATGTGATTACTGTGCTAGTTACGATCGTGGATTGTAGAACTGTCGAACACACTATGGGTAATTGTCTTTGTTGTATGTATTGGCTACAGCTAGTTGATATTCTACAGTGCAGTGAAGTGAAACGTCAGTCCAAATAAAACATGAATATTATTGGAATATCTACATTAAAAAAGTAATAAGGCATCTGACATTTATGAACGACACATTAGTTTCTTGTAGTATATTGGAGGTAGCCATTAACGAAGTCTTATACATGTGCTTTGGTGTTGTACTGATATAGTTATACCACCGTCATATAGCTGGAATATTCCTGAGTGCAACCAACCAACCAAACAAACAAAACTAGCCTTAATGCACACGTATGAGTTTCAATGTAGGTGTGGACCCATGAAGATCCGGGGTACAACTGGTCTTCAGCAACCCATGTAAAAAGCGACTAACGGGATCGGGTGGTCAGGCTCGCTGACTTGATTGATGCATGTCATCGTATCCCAGTTGTGTGGATCAAAGTGGAATGTTGCTGAGTGCGGCGTGTAGCAACAAACAAACAAACAAACAATGTAGTTGTGGCTTATACCAGTACTGAAGATTCGGTACAGATTCCATATGCTGTCTCCACGTGGAAACAAACCCGGATATGCTCCTCAGTGAACGGTCACATCGTCCAAAGGTATAATCCCCATCCCCTAAAAAAATTAAACCAATTTAGGGAACAAACATGTTTATAATGTTAATGTAAAATAAATAAAATTAATTAGGCCAGGCAATTGGGACTCGGGTGTAGATCTTAGGTTCCATTCAACAAATAAATATATTCCTTACAATGCTACGATGTATTTGCAATTGCACTGCATCTTCATAAAAATTGCAACCGTTTCATGAAAGGCAACAATGGGACTAATCTATTTATTCATGATACATCTCGATAAGGGCCGCAGTTCTAGACCCCCGATGCATCTACACGCTACGCACAAGTCGAAAATGAACAAACCAGCATTCTCAAAACCGGAGAGACGTGGGATGAGTAAATTGACCTGTGAGAAGTACATGCATACTCTATACGGTTATACTGATGAGTTAAATCATGAAAAAAAGAACTAGAATCGCATCTGTGACGTCAAGACAGCATTAAAAAAGCACGGGACGGACAATGCGATATACGGACAATAGATATCTACAGCTTAGATGTTACATGTATATCCAAAGGTCGACACAGCTCAATGATCGAGAAATCTTTACTTTTCAAAGTTGACTGCTTGTCTCTGAAAAATGAACACAGACGTTTGTGAAGATTGTACACTGGCATATCATTTGACATTTGAATATCAACGCTGAGAATGTTTATATTCCAGTGCCATCTGGCTAGCCTTCATTATCCGATCCATGTGTTCTATCGGCTTTCCCCTCCTAGAGTTTACATCTACAAGTTAATGTAACTCCAGATATCTTAGTATTGAGTTCATTATGTGTGTAGCAAGATGGTGTCGGATATGTACGTGCCATAGCTCCTTGATAAAACACCTAACTTCCAGATAGCATGGATGCTATACAGAGAGATAACATGTATGCTGTACAGAGAGAAAACATGCATGCTATACAGAGCTATAACATGTATGCTATACAGAGAGATAACACGTATGTAATACAGAGAGAAAACATGTATGCTATACAGAGAGATAACATGCATGCTTTACAGAGAGATAATACGTATGTTATACAGAGAGATAATATGCATGCTCTACAGAGAGATAACATGTATGCTATACAGAGAGATAACATGTATGCTATACAGAGAGAAAACATGTATGCTATACAGAGATATAACATGTATGCTATACAGAGAGATAACACGTATGTAATACAGAGAGAAAACATGTATGCTATACAGAGAGATAACATGCATGCTATACAGAGAGATAACATGCATGTTATACAGAAAGGTAACATGTATGCTATACAGAGAGATAACATGTATGCTATACAGATAGATAACATGCATGTTATACATAGAGATAACACGTATGTTATACAGAGAGATAACATGTATGCTATACAGAGAGATAACATGTATGCTATACAGAGAGATAACATGCATGTTAACGTTATACAGAGATATAACATGTATGCTATACAGAGAGATAACATGTATGCTATACAGAGAGATAACATGCATGTTAACGTTATACAGAGAGAAAACATGTATGCTATACAGAGAGACAACATGTATGCTATACAGAGAGATAACATGCATGATGTACAGAGAGATAACATGTATGCTATACAGAGAGATAACATGTATGCTATACAGAGAGATAACATGCATGCTATACAAAGAGATAATACGTATGTTATACAGAGAGATAACATGTATGCTCTACAGAGAGAGATAACATGCATGCTATACAGAGAGATAACATTTATCAGATAATGGGTAGGTTTCTCGGCAAGATAAAGCCAACGGATAAAAACGATATCCGTTGGGGTCATATGCGGATAGAGATGCAAATATCAAAGGTCAATTAGGGACTACTTTCACTGTTTATAAACAAACATGGCGTCGCCCTCGTCATTTGGCGATCGAGTCAGAATTAACCATCGGGGATCTGGATAAACTACAGGGATAATTGCTGGCATTATCAAAAGAACTAATATACTGAAAATCAGCGCCTAACTGTGACGTAGCTAAGGCATTTTATAAGTTTTGGCAACTTTGGAGATATAGATTTCGAAACAATTTTGCGAGGGCACGAGGCCTAGCCAAGCGGGATCAGTAGCCATATCTGTGCTTGTAGACCTCTGCGGCTTGAAACCTTCTCCACAAATTAAAAAAGTTGGATTTGGCCGAAATATGTTTGAATTGTTACCTTGTTTCGTTTTGTCGCTCTGTGTACATTTGACCGCACTTCTTAACGTTATGACAGGACAGACCGACTGTCAACAACGTCTGACCGTGGCCGTGACGTCTCATAGACTAGGGTTAGAGTAGCTTCCCTTTGACAAAGGGCAGTTACTCTAGCGGTCATACCGATGGATTGCCGCCAAAGGAAATAAAAAACAACTGTTGTTTTGCGTATATGTTGCTTCGCCACTGTATAAGAAACAGATTTCAGTTGGAAGTATATTGGCTACTGTCACTGTCCGACTGACACGTCACTTACCCTGTGACGTAATAAATATTAATGCGCGCATTTCAGGAAAACTTGCAATGTTTCGGTAATGTTTGTGAGAGAGGGAAAGCGATTTTGAAGCACCGAATTAAAGAATGACATTATATGATAAAGAGGTTATCACGCTTGTGTGTTTGGGGATGGTAAATATCCTGTATTAGGAAAAAACACTATGTATTTAGCTCGCCAAGGCTCGCTAAATGCAATGTTTATTCCTAATGCAGGATATTTACCATCCCCAAACACACAAGCACGATAACCTCTATGTATGCTATACAGAGAGATAACATGCATGCTATACAGAGAGATAACATGTATGCTATACAGAGAGATAACATGTATGCTATGCAGAGAGATAACATGCATGTTAACGTTATACAGAGATATAACATGCATGCTATACAGAGAGATAACATGTATGCTATACAGAGAGATAACATGCATTTTAA